TTTCAATAAGGTATTAGAAAAATTATTTCATAGCTTTGTCAAAGCTAAATTGTAGGTCAAGCCTTATGTATCTTATATGGCTCACCCAGTTCAGCTAGGCCTACAAGACACCACATCCCCTGTCATAGAAGAACTAATCACTTTTCACGACCATGCTTTTATAGCTATATCTTTAATTTGCTTTCTAGTCTTATATGCCCTATCCTCAACACTCACAACAAAACTTACCAACACCAACATCACAGATGCCCAAGAAATAGAGACCATCTGGACTATTTTACCTGCAATTATCTTAGTCCTAATCACCCTTCCATCCCTGCGCATCCTGTATCTAACAGACGAAATCAACAACCCCTCCTTTACTATTAAATCAATCGGACACCAATGATACTGAACCTACGAGTACACAGACTACGGAGGCTTAATCTTTAACTCTTATAAAATACCCCCACTATTCTTAAACCCAGGTGACCTTCGACTTCTAGAAGTTGACAATCGAGTAGTCCTCCCAATTGAAGCCCCCGTCCGTATAATAATCACATCCTAAGATGTCTTACATTCATGAACTATCCCTACACTAGGCCTAAAAACAGATGCAGTGCCTAGACGCTTAAACCAAACTATATTCACCGCCACACGACCAGGCGTCTACTATGGACAATGCTCAGAAATCTGTGGCGCAAACCACAGCTTCATACCAATCGTCGCAGAACTTATCCCACTAAAAATCTTTGAAATAGGACCTGTATTTACCTTATAAACCCCCCCCCCCATAAGCCCTTAAAAATACTTTACAGACCCGCTGTACAGCTATCCTAGCATTAACCTTTTAAGTTAAAGATTGAGGAACATACCCTCTACAGTGAAATGCCCCAATTAGATACATCTACATGATTCACTACTATCATGACGATGCTCCCTACACTATATCTTATTATACAATTAAAACTGCTAAACACAAATTACTATCAACCCCCCTTACAAAAAAACCCTAGCCTACAAATCCACAATAATCACTGACAACTAAAATGAACGAAAATCTATTTACCCCGTTCTCAACCCCAATAATCCTCGGCCAATCCGCCACAATTCCCATTATCCTATTTCCTACACTGCTAATTCCAACCTCCAAACGCCTCATTAACAACCAACTAATCACTATTCAACAAAGCCTGACTCAACTCACTCTAAAGCAAATAATAGTAACTCACAATACTAAAGGGCAATCCTGAGCTCTTATACTAATATCCCTAATCACCTTTATTGCCATAACCAACCTCCTAAGACTCCTACCCCACTCATTTACGCCAACCACCCAACTTTCTATAAACCTGGCTATAGCAATCCCCCTATGAGCAGGCACAGTGATTGTGGGCCTTCGCTTTAAAACCAAAAATTCCCTAGCCCATCTTCTACCACAAGTACACCCACACCACTCATTCCCATACTAGTAATAATCGAAACTATTAGTCTACTTATCCAACCAGTAGCCCTAGCTGTATGACTAACCGCTAATATCACAGCTGGTCACCTACTAATGCATCTGATTGGAAGCGCTGCACTAGTATTATCAACCATTAGCTTCCCCGCTGCCTTACTAACTTCTATACTCCTAACACTACTAACCATTCTAGAAATTGCAGTCGCTCTAATTCAGGCCTACGTCTTTACACTCTTAGTCAGCCTTTACTTACACAACAATACCTAATGACCCACCAACTCCATGCTTGTCACATAGTTAAACCTAGCCCCTGACCATTAACAGGAGCCCTATCAGCTCTCCTAATAACATCCGGCTTAGTTATATGATTTCACTTTAACTCCATCACCCTACTGACACTAGGCCTACTAACCAATGTACTAACCCTATACCAATGATGACGCGATATTGTACGAGAGAGCACTTATCAAGGCCACCATACAGTACCTGTCCAAAAAAGCCTTCGATATGGAATAACATTATTCATCATCTCAGAAGTCTTCTTCACCGGCTTCTTCTGAGCGTTTTACCACTCGAGCCTCGCTCCAACACCCCACTTAGGGGGTCACTGACCACCAACAGGCATTACCCCTTTAAATCCCCTAGAAGTACCTCTTCTAAACACCTCTGTACTACTCGCATCAGGAATTACAATCACCTGAGCCCACCATAGCCTCATAAACAATAACCGAAAACAAACAATCCAAGCCTTACTTATCACAATTCTACTGGGCATCTACTTCACCCGACTACAAATCTCAGAATACTTTGAAGCACCTTTCACTATCTCCGACGGTATTTACGGTTCAACATTTTTCGTCACCACAGACTTCCACGGACTTCACATCATCATTGGATCTACATTTCTTCTTATTTGCCTCATTCGCCAACTATTATACCACTTCACATCAAACCACCATTTCGGCTTTGAAGCCGCCGCCTGATACTGACACTTCGTAGATGTTGTCTGACTGTTCCTCTACCTTTCTATCTATTGATGAGGATCCTACTCTTTTAGTATAACTAGTACAATTGACTTCCAATCAATCAGCTTTGATAGTATTCAAAAAAGAGTAATCAACCTAGTACTAGCCTTAACAATCAACACCCTTTTGACCTCACTACTAATAATTATCATATTCTGATTACCCCAACTCAACTCCTATGCAGAAAAAACTAACCCTTACGAATGTGGATTTGATCCCCTAAATCCCGCTCGTATCCCATTCTCAATAAAATTTTTCCTGATCGCCATCACTTTTCTACTATTCAACCTGGAGATCGCTCTACTACTATCCCTACCATGAGCCCTCCAAACAACAAACCTTCCAGTAATAATCAAAACATCTATCATATTTATCATCATCCTAATTCTCAGCCTAGCCTATGAATGAACCCAAAAAGGACTAGACTGAGCCGAATTGGTAAGTAGTTTAAACAAAACAAATGATTTCGACTCATTAAATTATGATAACCATACATTTGGTCTTTATCACTCTTCCATAATGCCTCCATGGCAAGGGTGGCAGAGAGAAAGAATTATGCTGAGGAAGTAGAACTGACTAGAAGTCATGAACAATGCTTGGTGACTAGATTCTAGAACAGACGAATACGGCTTTGCTTTGCTTCCAAGCTTCTGTGTCAGGAATGGTTTCATTCATCTACACAGGGAACAGAGGATGGAGGGGTGATGTCTTCAGGCTAGGGCATGTATAGGGTGACCAAATCTGACCTTGTATTGTGCAAACTCAGGACTTTCGTAGAGAAAGGGGTCACCATCCAGAGGGATGCCAGATAAAAATGTACAATGGGACTAAGCCAGGCAAACAGTGGCACATGTTCACGTTAGACATGTGGAATCTGATATTGCTGTAAGAAATACAGAAGAACATGGGATAAATGGCAATGGAGGCCTAAAACTCAGCAGAAATGGCTGAACTTATAATTTGTGAACTGTTATTTATGGTTGTTGGTGGAGCCCACAGTAGTGAAGGAGATGGCTCAGGGAGATCACATTAAAGGCGATGAGGAGAAAAACTAATGATCAAATTCTAGTGAAGGGGAAGTAAGGGTAGCAAGTATAATTTCAAATTAACATTTAATTTAAAAATTATATACTACTACTGTTTATTATTTAACCCCTCCCTTCCAAGTTAATTTCATTTACACTATTCATGAGGCTACACAGTTTAGTAAAGGGTCCATTTAAGCAGGATGAATTTAACTCACTAATTCCAGAATGAAAGCAAAAGCTCTCTGCATCTACGCTAAATTATTTGACATAAATAGTTGTCTTGCTACAGAAAGCAAATAGAGTACACTTTCCACTATAATTAGAATTAAATACATTGGAGCTTCCCAATAACATCAGATACTCCTAGAGTCTTTGGCAATAAAATCCTTTTGCCTCAGATTCAGGTTGGGCCCATGTTATTTCCAGTTCCTCACTATCAGAATCAAAGTAAAGATCCAGGAAAGAAAATAGGCACATTTACCTTAAGGAAATCCAATAATACTAGCTTAGATGGAAGTACTATATCATTGATTGAATGCACAGTAATTTCAGACTCATCTGATAATTTCTTTAATCTAAAGGATGATTATTACAGCAAGAATCTAATTACAGTTGAATATTTTATATTTTAATATCAAGATATCATTGCCTCTCTGGATTTCTTTTCTGCCTCATTCAGGGTCTCAGAGATTTTAAAGTATATTTTTGAGTAGATGCAATTTTTTGCTTACCTATTAACTTCAGAATCTATTCTCCTCTTAAGATGTATCTGCTACTCATGTTTTCTCATAGAGCTAGATAAAAGCAGATCTGTCTAGAACACAGATTTTGGGACCCCAGACCACTGATTTTCTGTCATATGAAGTGTCATTCTGTGACACCAAAATACAAACTAAGTTCAATTTCTTTTTTACAAAATAAAATCACAAAGGTAAATTTGCCAGGGCTTATTTAAAAATTCTCCATATAAAGTTTTCTAAGCTTATGCATTTCTATTTATTTATTTATTTATTTATTTATTTATTTATTTACCTTTTTGCATTAGCAGATGTCTTGATTTATCCAGGATACACTTCCTTTTTGTTACTATATCTAATCAAACTTTGATTTTGTATTCTGTTTCTTCTTTTCAAGTTTTTAAGTCTATGGCCCTTAAAGAATACCAAATTTTTTCTAATATAGAAGCATTAATGAAAGGTGCTTGCCTTCTCATAGCTAAGTAGCCTTGAATATTATTCAACTCATGTAGAATGTCAGCTTTGTGTGTGTGTGTGACATTCAGGAATCTGACTTGAAATGGTTGGAGTTAAGGGTTCTTTCTATACTCCCAGGAAAATTGACCACACACACACACACACACACACACACACACACGCGCGAAGATAAAATGAAACCACAACACTGAAGGAAAAAGGTCTGTCCCTGGTTTCTTGTCAGTAGACATTTTTTTTCTTCCATAAATTTCCATCACCTCTAAAGCTGGGCTACACAGCACTGAGCACTTACTATTGACAATAGCTGTGGGCAAAATAGAAGCCATGGCAGCTTGCTGAGGAAGCAGCTGAATTGAGTCCAGCAGGCGTGCAGGGTACATCCCTTCTGTGAAAGTCATCTGACTGGCAGCTTGTAGCCTTGAGTCAAAATCCACCACAAAGGCAATTAGCTCTTCACCCTCAGAGATGGCCTTCGTAGTTGTACACCAAAGCTGACCCCCTATTAAGAAGAAAAAAGAAAAAGATAATATTGACATAGGATGCTTGAGTCTGTTGTACACTAGCTTGATGTCCACAGCACCTTCTCATGTTTTTCACACCGGTTCCTACTGGAGTGGAGTGTTTGATCAAGGCAACAGTTGTGCTCCTTTTGCTTCCTGTGTGGAAAATTGTACTTTTTGCATTAAATGAACTGTTTAGTGACCAGAAGTAGGAGGAGACTAAGAATCAAGTACAGCATAAACATAATTTGTACTGATTTTTGTCAATTGTTTGCTTTCTGGGGCTTGCCTGAATCAGTAACCTTACCAGTACATTGGGATAGTACCTAAAAACCAGCATGGTAAGGACCCAGCTGCTGAAATTTATTTCCTGTGAGCATTTGAAGTTATTCTTTCTGTATTTTATGAAAGTAAGAAGTTATTTATCTCTCTCCTTCTCTTCCCCCCCATGAAATATTTCCATCATATCAATACCAATGCCCAAACTACAGAACAAGTAAACAAAAACTCTTGAAATCTAGAAAATTAAAGTGAAATTCAGGTAGTTATACTCGGCTATGTCTGCTGCCGTTTTTTTTGGCTGAATGATCTTTACTTATATAATATTATGTATAATGTAGCTTCTTCATCTCCATTTACCCTGATTGAACTTCCTGAAATGAAGATATGCCAAAAATCCTTTTCAAAAAGGCTCATTTAAATAAAGATTTGTTTAAATGAAAAGAAATGTCTCTTCAAACACTAAGATATACTCTGACACTGCACTTCAACAATCACATGTTTTGCATTAAAAAGAAAAATTAACTATGCAAGTACATCTAATGTATTGGGATGTGATAGCAAATGCTCATTTATTTTACATGTTTAGACAGGCAAAGCACTTATATTTTGTTATCTACACTCTCAGGCCTAGATATATATCCTATACAGTTATGCCTGAAATAATGTAGCATACTTGATATGTTATAAAGCTTTTTTTCCATTGTGTAAGGCTGTGTATTGCACTCATTAAGCAGCCAAAACTTGTACCCATTTTGATAAGACATATTGCTCTGTTTATCTTTCAACATAACTGTCTTTTCAACTGCACTTCATTTTTTCTACCCTTAGAGCTGATGGTTTTTAAACAACTTGTGGTAAAACTGGTGGAAAAGATAACAACAGCATATGATATGGCAGAGTTGCCCAGAAGAATCAGAACATTGTTTTAGAGAAACGTTGGGCAATTAATTAAGCCAGCTGATTAAGTTTTAAAGGTAAGGAAACAAAACCATCTGTGAGAGTATATGATTGTTAAAAAATAAAGCTAAGACTACAGACCCCAAATTTGTGTAAACGTTTCAAAGTAACAATATACCGTTAAAAAATAAAGCTAAGACTACAGACCCCAAATTTGTGTGAAAGTTTCAAAGTAACAAACAAATATACTAAAATGCTAGAAAACAACTTTTTTTTCACTTTGACACGAATGTATCTGAAAGCATACAAGTTTACCACAGTTGAATAAAACAGATTTTGCTTTGATTTACTTCTTTTCAAATAATAGAAGCTAAACCGTATCATGTCGAAATCAGAGGAGCGATGAAAGTGTGAGTGGTGGTATTTCTGCTGTTCTTCCCCATAGAAGGCTTCTGCGATTAGCTTCTATGTCTTCTTTCCCTTATGGGCATTCAGATCCAAACTACTTGCAACTGTAGACAAGGTAATCATTTAATCATTTGCACCTTATCTTTCCACTGAACTACAGTTTATTGAGGCTGTGTAATGAAGAGGTAGGGGAGACACAGCAAGAAACCACAACTCAGGTTTAGTTCATATGGTCTTTCAGAGTCACTAGACTTCAGTCATTAACTTTACATTATTGGTTAAGTCCAGCTATGTGTACCTTTCACAAAAGGAAGGAAAGAATTGGACTCAGGTGCCCAAGAGAAATTGAGGTTTTAGAGAAGATGTCCAGCCACAAATAATCTTTATCACTGTGGTAAGCTATAGGGTAGGACGACTCAAGAGTATTTATTCTCAAATTTTGAACCAAAAGATTTAGTAAATTAAGTAAAGTTGAAATCAAAAATACTAACTTCAAATAAAAGTGAACAAAAAAATCATTTGTATGCATCATTAAATGACTTGGCAGTTGTAATATATATTTGTGTTTTCAGATGTACCCAATAATGTTTCAAATTTTATTATCTTTATCACTTTATCTCATTTGATGGTTTAGTCAGAGTGTATCATTCTAAAAGGCTAAATTAGACTGAAAATGTACTGTTGGACTTGATGAGAAAGTTATCTTTGGATTTAATCTTTCAAATCATTCACTAATCAGTTATTCATTGAAATCTCTGCTGCGTGCTAGGCTGGGCGCTATGGCTTCACATGTAGCTCTACAATTAGAATACACACATATATGCAAATATATTACAATACCACATTAAGGGTGTCATCCCCTAATGCTAAAGAGAATGTGAGAGGAGTGAGTAACTGCCCCTTCTTGGAGAAGTTAGGCAAGCTATCCAAGGTGATGTTTTTATTAGCTCATGAAGAACAAATAGAGGTAAAACAGCAAAAACGTGTAGGCAGGACGAGGCAGGTACATCATTATTGCCCTATAAATGAGCATGTGTGAAGGTTTAGAATTACAGAAAAGTCACCCCAGTGAGTAGTTGGGACTACAGGTGTGATCATCACTCTTGGCTATTTTTTTTTTTTTTTTGAGACAGGGTCTCCCTCTGTCACCCAGGCTGGAGTGCAGTGGTGCGATCTCGGCTCACTGCAAGCTCCGCCTCCCCGGTTCACGCCATTCTCCTGCCTCAGCCTCCTGAGTAGCTGGGACTACAGGCGCCCGCCACCACGCCCGGCTAATTTTTTGTATTTTTAGTAGAGATGGGGTTTCACCATATTAGCCAGGATGGTCTCAATCTCCTGACCTTGTAATCCACCCGCCTTGGCTTCCCAAAGTGTTGGGATTACAAGTGTGAGCCACGGAGCCTGGCTAATTTTTAAAAATATTTTTTTGTAGAGATGGAGTCTCACCATGTTGCCCAGACTGGTCTAGAACTCCTGGGCTCGAACAATCCTCTTGCCTTGGCCTCCCAAAGTGCTGGGATTGCAGGCATGAGCCATGGTGTCCCGCCAGGAGTACTTTCTTTGGGCCTGATAAGCTAAGTGGTTTATGTAGTTCATCTATTTTAATCCTGTCAATTACTCTGTGAGGTAGGTAATAGTTCCCTAGTTTGAGAAAACTGAAGCTTAGAGAGGATAACTAAGTTTCCCAAAGCCATACACAGGCTCAGTGGCAGAATTGTGACTTACACTTTTGTCTGTCCAACTGCAGAGTCCAAGCGTGCATGTGTGTGTGTTGTGTGTATATGCGTATATGTGCATGCACGGAAATAATGAATTCTGTTTTGAAAATGCAAAGTTTGGGGTACCTGACAGACTTCTGGTCAATTTATCTAGGAGAAAGATGGAACTTGGAGAAGACATACAGGCTGAAGAAAAAAAAAATGTTTTGGAAGTGATCTGCACATTCTAATTGACCATGGATGCTCTCTGCATTCATGTGGTAACCCAGGGAGAGTATGGAGTGAAAAGAGGATCACCAAAGAAACTTGGGGTATCTCAACATTTAGGATGTGCACAGAGAAGACGAGATCATTAAAATGTACCAAGAGCTTATATTTAAATGTTAGAGGGAAATCAAGAGAATGGCACCACAGAAATCAAGGGTTGGATTTCTTTATAATTGTTTGGCTGAGTTTTTAGATGGTGAATTTAGAACATACAACTTGAGGGAGTCATTCATAGGAAGTAATAACCCAAATATTGTAACATAACTTCAATTACTGATGCTAATAAAACTTTCAGAGTGTGATCACTCTTGGGGGAATGTTTGGGCAATGGAACCAGACTGCCTAGGTGGAAATCTTGGCTCTGCCACTTATTATGTGTGTGACTTAGAACTTGTCACCTAAGCGTTCTACCTGTCAGTTTCCTCATTCCTGAAAATGCGAAAGATGATAAACAGTGCTGAACTCATGATGTTATTATGGGGATTAAATGAGCTAATATATGTGAAAGCTTAAGAACAGCACCTGACCTATAATCATATAATAAATAACATATAACAAATGTTTATATAATTGTTAGCTATTATCGTTTTAGTTTAATCTGCTTGGGGCTATTATTATTCTCATTTCTTACTGCCCTGCTAAATCCAAGAGGAAAGAAATCTCACCAGAAAGAAAAGGCACACCTGTGAATCCAATGAGCAGATCTGTCTACACTTCACTGGAGGCAGCTAACTCATTTTAGAAAAGAAGAATACGGTTGCATTTGTTTGTGGATCACAAACTATTGTGGACCAGTTAGAAACAGAAATAGTTTCTAGCAATCTTTGTGGATCTGAAGGGGCAGGAGAACCAGTTTCCTGTTTTAATGCTTCAGAGCTGAGATAAATATGGCCTACTTCAACTTACAATTGTGTACAGGGTAGTAGTATTTACGTAAATTAAGAAGCTATACAAGCACACGAAAATGCTAAGTCATGTTGACATTTAGCTACAGAATCTTGTACCCTTTGACCTCATGTTTAAAACAAACCACAGGATATTACATTTGACTTTAAAATGAGAGCACCATTATCAGAAGAAAATAAAAAAGAAAATAAGTGTTGTTAAGGATGTAGAGAAACTGGAACCCTTGTGCACTGTTGGAGGGAATGTAAAATTGTACAAAATGATGAGCTATCCAAAAATTAAGACTAGAATTACCTATAATTTTAGCAATTCTACTTATGGATATATACTCAAAAGAAAGGAAAGCAGAGTCTCAAAGAGCTATTTGAACAGCCAAGCTCATAGCAGCATTGTTTGCAATAGCTAAAACGTGGAAGCCACCCATGGAAGTATCCATTGACAGAGGAATGGATAAGAAACATGTGATCTACACGTACAACTGAATATGATTCCGCCTTGAAAGGAAATTCTCACATATGCTA